CCACTGGAGCCTTAGGGTGGGCACAGATGGGGAGAGTGGGGAGAGGTGGAGCCCAGTCAATGAAAGAGATGGGAAGGACACTGAGCAGAGGACACCTGTTCCTGCTCACCTCCCTCTCCACTGGGCCAGCCCCCCTTTGTGGTTCTCAAACTTCAGTCTATACCAGAACCATGGAAAAGACCCTTCACAGTGCTCCCCATCTCCAGAGAGCCAAACTCAGTAGGTCCAGAGCAGGCCCTGGAGTCTGCACCTCGATCCTGCTTCTTGATGAAGGGGCCTTTAGACAACTATAAGTGGTCATGGTGGCAGAAGTCCATGAGAAGACCTGGGACAGATTGGGGTGTTGCAGCCTGACCCAGTGCAGAGACCCAACTTCAGAGGATTTGGCGAGGAATCTCCCCCTGTGCAGTTTCCCATCTCCTGGTTTCAGTTACCTGTGGTCAACCACAACCCAAAAATCTCAAGTGGAAAAATCCATAAATAAAAGGTTTATAACTTTTGAATTGCAGGCCTTTTTATGCAGCATGGTAGACTCTCCAGTTGTTTCTTTCCATCTTGCTGGGCTGTGAATCATCCACCAGGTCCAGGACTTCCACACTGCGGATGATGCCTGCCTATTAGTCACTGGTTGAGTCATAGTCAAGGTATCAGTTACATGACTGAGAAACAAAGACCACATTCGCAGTATCTATTATTGTATACCATTATAATTGTTCTATTTTATGAGTTATCATTGTTCTACTCTCTCACGGTGCCTAAAAGATGAAATGAACTTTGGCACAGATATATACGTACAGGAAAAAAAGAAAGAAGCACATGTGAGGTTTGGCACTATCTGAAGTTTGGGGTATCTATTTGGAGTTTTGGAAAATATCCTTCTGTAAGGAATGGCTACCATCCTGGTTAGGAGATGACTGATGTCTCTGATGCTCTTTCTTCAAGGAGAAGGGATGTGGCTATGCTCTTTGGACCCGAGTGGTATCAGTGACGAAGGATTCCTTAAGGGTGTGGAGGGTGCACTGCAAACCACCTCTCTCAGGGTGCGGGGAGATGGTTCAGTAGAATAAGCGCTTGCCTGGCAAGCTCAGGGTCCTGAGTTCAATCCCCGGTACCAAAAAAAGATTGAAATTCTTTGGGCCAGCCAAAGAGCTTAGTGGATTAAGGCATCTGCAAGTAGGCACAGGGGCTAGGGGTTCAATCCCTGGGCCTGCCATGCTGGCCCCACCCCAGGGTTGCTCTGAGACAGAAATTGAGACTGGGCATGGTGGTGCACACCTATAATCCCAGCTCTTGGGAGGCTGTAAACAGGCGGGTCACTAGGAGTCCCATTTAGTTGTGAGACCCTGAACACCCTGTAGACCCTTCCCTAAAATACAAAAAAACAAACAAACAAAAAAAAAAACACCTCTCTCATGGGAAAAACACTAAGCCTACCTCCTGGGGCTGGGAATATGGGTGCAGGGAGTTAGCATTTGAACACTAGGGTAGAGTCTGAAGAGGCCTGAGCTCACATCCTTCTTGTGTTATTTGGGACAGCATGATGGCATGTTTACACTGGGGCTTGTTTGGTGACTCAGGGATTCAGGGGTGCTCCTGGATTGGGGATTATACCACATCCTGTAGAAGCTTCTATAGAAGAGCTGCAGACCAATTCCTGCCCACGGCAAAAGGCATAGATCCTGGACCCTGATTCTCCCTAGGCGGACACACCCCATGCCTATGGCTGCCCCCTTTTCTCCCTTCAGGGAAGATGCTGTGGCCCCTTGAAGAAGGAAAAGCATCATCACCCCCAGGTAGCTGCCACCAGTCCCCCAACCCAGCTCCTCCAAACTTCAACTGCATTAAAAGAGCTCATTGTTTTTGCAAGCACAACTTCAAAGCTAGGCTCCTTGCAACAAATCCCTGGATCTCAGCTGCTTCTGTGCAGAAAATCTGTCTCCATTCCATTCTTCTCTCCTACCCCCTGTGGGGACAAAGTCTGGTGGAATAATAAGAAAATCACCAGGTAGGAGCTAAAACTGCTGCTCCGGGCAGGGTCCACATTCCGTCTGCATTCCCTCCTTTCCTTGAGCATTGAGAAGCATCTGCTGTCAGAAGTAGAGCAGAGGCTGCCGTGCTGGGGCTCCACCCCCTGCACCTGCTCCTTCTCAGCCCTCACAGCCATGTCCTAGCCAGGACCTGTCCAGGCTGGATGGGTGCAGCTGGGGAGGTGGGATGGGAAACCCTGTGCAGTCCCAGAGGCAGCCCCCTACCCTGCAACAACAGCACAGAGCTAGCTGAGGGGCGCCTGCCCTTAGTCTCGCCCTGCAGGATTTCACACCGCTCCTGCAAGCACTCACTTGGTCCTCTGCTCTTTATCTCCAGCCTCATGTCCTCCTAGAGGCTGCAACTGCCCTTCTTACTCTCTGCATCCACTCTCCCTGCTGGGGAGTAGAAAGTTCCCTGGTGTAAATGTGTGCCTGGCAGGGCCTCATGGCAAGTTTTCCTGGGAAGGAGAGGGCTCCTTCTTGGTTAGACTTCCTAGGGAAAACCCAGCTGGGCAGGAACAGGCTACCCATCTGCAGCCTCCTTGTGGAGATGCACAGTGATGGACAGTGGCTCCTTGCTCTCTCTCAGCTGATCATGACCTGGTCTTCCCACAGGTGTGCCTTCTCACAGGTGTGGCTTTATGCAGGTGTGCCTTCTCACAGGTGTGGCTTTACTCAGGTGTGCCTTCTCACAGGTGTGCTGTCACATAGGTGTTCTAGGAATCCAGGCCCCACTTCCTCCTTGTCCTCCAGACCTTCTGCCCCCCATCAGGTACACATCTGTGTGAATGTGTATACTCCACATATGCACACCAAAAGATCTTGGCCAGTCCTTCACCCAATGTGTTCTTGGGGACCTGGGGCTGGGATTTCAGCTTTTAGAATTCTCTGTGACCATCTTTCTTCTCTACTCCCCACCTGGCTTCAGTATTCCTATGAAGGGATGGAGATCAACAACCTGCCTGTGGAGCTGACAGTGGTGTGGAATGGGCACTTTAACATCGACAACCCTGCTCAGAATAAAGGTGTGGAGGGGTGGGCATAGTGGGAAAGGCAGCGGGAGGGAGGGAGGGAGGGTGGGCACCCCTACTTGCTAATCCTGGATATCTCCCTCCTGCTGAGTCCCTCCCCCAGCCTCTCCACCATGCACATTTCCCTGTCACTTCTTGGGTATGGGCTCCTGGCTGGTGGCTTACAGGAGGGGAGCAGGACAGACTTGCTGGGGAGAACTGCGGAGAATGCAAACCCATGACTGCTTCTCTGTGTGGCTCTCTCCTCAGTCCCAGGGCTCCTTTTCAGCCTTCTCTGTCAGAATGGCTGAGGGGCAAAACTGTCTTGGGTCTGCACTCCTAGTGCTTCTCCCTGGCCCATCCGGCCCACCTCAAAGCATCTCTCACCCTTGCCTCCTGCAGTTTACCTCTACAAGTGTGGGGCCATGCGTGAGAGCTGTGGGCTGTGTCTCAAAGCTGACCCAGACTTCGAGTGTGGCTGGTGCCAGAACCCAGGCCAGTGTACCCTTCGCCAGCACTGTCCTGCTCATGAGAGCCGGTGGCTGGAGTTGTCGGGTGCCAACAGCAAGTGCACAAATCCCCGAATCACAGAGGTAAGCCACAAGAGCCATGTTGAAGAATTGGAGGCTCCAAATGCCCCGGTGACAAGCCTGAAGCTCTAACAGTGGCACAAGCCTCACAGGGGCTGAGGGTGCAGAGCCCAGCCCAGGGGACAAGGTGAAGGTCACAGTGGAAAGCTCTCAGGATTTGCCCAAAACAAGACCTAAGCTATAGGAGCAGAAATGGATTTGTACACAGAGGTACAAAAGTAAAAGGGGGCCAGGGCAAGGCTAAACGTGCAGATGTGCTGGACACAGAGAACGAGATGTCAAGCCAGGCTCCACTGGGTCCCTGTGGGGCACCCTGCAGCTAGTTCATTGCTATCTTCCAAGCCTCAACATCCTTACCTGTATGGGAGTGTTATCAGGATTGGTGGGAGAGCGAATTGGGTGTGTACATTGCCTAATTACCATGCCACCTCCTCCTCCTTGTTAATGGACATCATTAAAATAGGACCAAAGATGCCTAAACCAAGGAAATCGCTGCCCCTGGGGTTCACTTAAGTAGCTCACGCTCTTCACTGCACACTCTGGCAGAAAGACCAGCTAAGATATCACTTTCCACTGTGACTGAAGTTCCTTGCTCCCCTCTTAGAGCAAGGAAAGGGGTCCATGCATCTTTCCACAGACTCTTCAGCAGTGGGACTGGGTCTCACACCTGGCAAGGAGGTAGTGTGTGATGGGTGCTTGGCACCTCTTTGCAATGGTGCATGCTGGTTATGATAATGAGACAGATGAGGGAGAGACCAAAGAAGAGGAAGAAGGAGGCTCAGACTCCTACAAACCCTGAAAACAGACCGGTGCCTTTGAATGCATGCATTGTCCAACAGTCTCGCAGTGGCCATCACAGTCCTAGGCTGCGTATATGTGCAGTGCCTTAGAGTTGACATGGTCCCTTTACATCCCTCACCAATCTTCACAGTAGCCCTCTTCTGTTAGGGTCCTAGAGTTGCTGTACCAAGCTCCCATAAATGACATGTCTCTAGTTTGCACACCCCCACTCACAGAGTGCACACACCAGGACTGCACAACAGCCGAAAGAGTCTTCACTTTTGTGGGTGAGTCTCCTCACCTTGTAAGGTGACCTCACTGTGTGGCCCTTAAAATATGGGCCCTTTCGCTGTCCGCACTCCTGGTAGTCCAGATGTGGCTGCCCCACCCAGCCCCTTGCATACTCTGCCTACAAAAGAGCTAAACAGGTCAAATGCTGGCACATTTAACCACAGAAGTGCAGCAAGAAGCCAGGTGAGTGCCCCTCCTGCTGCTCCTGGTCCCCTTCTCTCCTTTCCAGCCCACATCACCCTGGGTGTCCTCTGTGGAACCACTGCCCCCACATCATTAACGAGAAGCCAGCCCTGGGGACACAACACATGGCAGCTTGTAGTGTGCTGGGCACAGCACTCAGAATGACTTGCTTTCTTTTTGGCTTGGGCCCAGGAAAATCACAGGGAGGAGGCAACAAATTAAACAAATCTCCCTGCAGTGGAGGCTATTTACCACCTCCATCCTGGCATCAGCCCTCCAGGGAGCCTGGACTGGGCCAGAGATAAAATTCCTTTTATAGGATGACAAGCGAGGGCTGGAATTTGATGTAGACACTGCTGCCAGGTGCCAGGGCACACTGGGGACTGACCGTCTGGGCAGGCACTGGAGACAAACCAGACACCTCTCTCTGCCTTCCTTACTACTGTCTGCCTCCCACCTGCAGAGTAGGCCTGTGTTTCAAAGGAAGCTGTTTTTCCACTACAGTGGAAGCTCTCACACCCTGTGCACATCCATCTGAGAATGTGTACCTGCACAAGACGGATGTGTGAGAGGAGGTGGCCTGGGGTAGGCGAACACTTCATTCCCCCAGCAAAGCTGCTGCTCAGGGGAAGCCAAGCCTAGTGGCTTTGCTTCCCTAACTTTCAGCCTCACCCAGGATGGAGCCTCAATTGTGACCCTTGTTGGATAGGACAGTAGCACATGCTAAAAAGATCCCCCTGGACGTAGACCAGGATCCAGAGGCAGGAGCCTCTTCTGGTGGGTGAGGTGTGGAGCACATGATGGGGTCTCGATGACCATCCACAGCCACCCCTCCAGGCTGCCCCTGCTTGCTGATCCCTAACTTACCACTCAGGAGTCTTGGCACGATGGTGGCAGCTTGGGAGGAGCAGCCAGACATGTTGATCAGTGCATGAGGGTAAAATCTAAATGAAAGCTACCCCCAGGAGAACCAAACAGTGAGTACAAGGGTGTGACCAGTGCTCCTAGAAGTCCAGAAAGATGGTCAGACAGGTGTGGTTTTCAATACTGTTACAGCTCATGATATAAATAAGATGCTGCCCTCTCAAGACTGCAGGAGCAGAGAGGTGTGGGCCCTGTCCCCACGGGCTCAGAGTCTGAAGAGGAGGGGCTGGAGGGGAGAAGGACAAGGAAGCAGACACACACACACACACACTTACCATCAAACAAAGTGGAAAAAGAAGGCGCCTTGGAATTCCAGTGGGAAAAAAATCTGGTCATGGGAAGTGACACTTGGGAAGGATCTCTAAAGCTTCCTGGGAGACCCCTGGGTGTTCTGATAAGATGATTTTATTTTCTAATGTGCGCCAAGGCCTAAAGACTTTAATCCGAACTTTCTGCTAGTTACCTAGAAATACTGCAGTTACATTCCATCCCGCCATCTCTTTTTCTATGAGATGGGGAGACGCATCAGAGACTCTGGACACAGCTCCAACGCCATACACCAATAGGCAACTTTGCGCAAGGCCATGGCACACTAATAGCCCCACACTGTGGGTGCCTGCGAACTCTGAGCCACTGTAGGGATTAGCACAATGGAAGAAGAACGGACAGGCTCTTGGCCCCATCACAGGAGAGCAAAGGCACACCTGGAGCAGATGCAACATCTTCTCCTTCTCCTTGCAGATAATTCCAGTCACAGGCCCCCGGGAAGGGGGCACCAAGGTGACCATCCGGGGAGAGAACCTGGGACTAGAGTTCCGGGACATTGCTTCCCACGTCAAGGTGGCTGGTGTGGAGTGCAGCCCTTTGGTAGATGGCTATATCCCTGCAGAACAGTAAGTGGAGGTCACCTGGGGATTGCCGGAGGGCAAAGGTGGGGAGGAACGTGGCCTGACCCGAGTGTCCTAAAGCCCAAATGCCTGGGGTCACAGGTGTTTCAGATTTAGGGTTTTTCAGATTTTCATACGTATAATGAGATGTTGTTGTGATGGGCCCCCAGTCTAAATGTGACACTCTTTCATGTTTCATATACATTTCATACACATGGCCTAGAGGCAGTTTGATACAATTGTCTTAATCACTGTTTACGTGAAGTGAAGCTTCTTGGTAGCGAATGTTTCACTTGTAACATCAAGTTGACAAGCAAAACAGACTTTAGAGCATTTCAGAGTTTGGATTTTCAGTTTGGGGGTGTTCAACCTACACAAGGGATAGTCCTGTTAAAAACAGAGCCTCAGAGCTGCAGTGGGGGGGCGCAGATGCCCCTGATGTTCTAGAGGATTGGAAGTATACCCCTCACATGCTGCGACTTGCAGCCCCAGCTGCATACTGGAAAAGCAGAGAGGCCAGAAGTGGTGATCACAAGGAGGGAAGGAAAGTTGATGCTACCTTCCTGGGGCCTGGGGTGGAGGCCAGAGGCAGCACAACTAAAGCCTGCTGGAGAAGCGGGCATTCAGCTCTCTGTCTGTGTCTAACTTTCAACTCACAGGTACATAAAACCTTCATATATGAGGGAGGTGATATTTCAAATCAGCAAAGAAAGACAAGATCATTCAATAAATAGTTCTGATTAACATCCTGGAAAAGGTACAATATCAGATCCTTATTCCACGTAAGACACCAAAATAAATTCCAGATGGATTAAAGAGGTAAAGATAAAAAATGAAACTGTAAAAGGATTAGAAAAGAAAAAGGTGAGAATTCATTTGATTTCAGGAAGAAGGTATTATAACTGCAAAAAAGACATTATAAAGGAAAAGATTAAAGAATTGAAGTATATAAAACTTTAAAACTTGCACATAAAAAATCACTATAGGCAAATAAAATAGTGAGAGCTAAGCCAGGAATGTGATCAGGCCCTATCACAGCTAATAGAAGCATTCCTTAACAAATTAAAAGACCTTATCAATAAAACAAAAATATCACAAAATGGGAAAAGAACACAAATGCACAATATGCAAAAAATGTACATTTTTGTAACCAACAGTCACAAAAATGCAAATTAAGACAACAGACACACTATTTTAGAAATAAGTACCCAGTGTAGACCAGAGGCATGGGAAGTTACAGACATCAAATCATGACAAGGAGAAATTGAGATAAACTTTCTAGAAGGTATTTGGAAATATGGGTCAAAAGTCTTTAGCCTGGCCCTTGTACCTCTAAATCGTTCCTTAAATAACCAGACTGCATAAACGTTCATTTGCAGGAATGTATATTTCAGCTTTATTGATCATAACAATTCATAAGTCATTTGTATGTCTAACAATAGGAAATTTGTTGATGGCAGTAGTTCTCTGTTCAGATGCTCCGTAACTTCCTATGGGATATTTGCTGATAAGCCCATCATAAATTGAAAACATAATAAATCCAAAATGCATTTAATACACCTAATACACCAACCACTCCACCTTAGCAACTCAGTGCCCAGAAGAGATTCAGTCCTTTTCTGCCACGATGACAGCTGTCTGAATCCGGGTATCATTTCTACCACCCAGCATGCAACAGAGTATCATGGGGCATGTTGGGAGCTCAGGAAAAGGTCAAAGCTCACAGTTCACAGTGAACTTGTGTGGAAGTTCCAGGGAAGGAGCATCACTTCTGCATCCTTGCAAAGTGAAAATATTATAAATCAAGCAATCGTACATTGGGGGCCATCTGTACATGCAGTAGATAGTAAATTACAAAGCCACTAAATCTGATATTATCAAAGAATCATGACCAGGCATATATTGAAGGTATTTGAAGCAAAACCATAGATTACCAAGCAGAATATAGAATGTCTAATTAATTCTGTAAAAGAACAAACAAGGTTGGAAACATACACCAAAATATTGACAAAGGAAATCTCTGGGTGGTCCCGTTTCGGGTAGTGGCTGTGTGAGACAGGAGCTCTGTTTTTAGTGGCAAAATTAAAAAACTTCTTTTAAAACCGTAAATCTAACTTCAGATGTATATTCAGTTATGACATAAGAAAGAGAAGACCAGAGCTTTGTGAAGAACCAAGAACTATTATATTTCCAAAAGAATAGACCACTACCTCTGGAGGTCTACAACTGGACCACTCCCCTTATCGATGTCTAGGAAGGACAAAGGCTACTGTGGAAGGGTGGTAAGGAGTCCCTGAAGGCCTTACTGCTTATCAGAAGACCCATTTGAGGAAACTGCATGTAGAAATCAGGTCCCTTACTACTAACTGCACTCATGTATCCCTTGGAAAGCCCTGGCGTAAGCCTAGAAGCTCTGTGCAAAGATCACTGTCCAGTCCAGGACTAGGATAAAATGAAGCTCATTGTTATGGTTTGTGTCTAGTTGTCCCCCACAAAGCCTCATGTAAATTATGGGGCAGAGGTGGCTGAAAGAGAGAGTAGCTTGAGGGGCGGGGCCAGAGGTCCAGGGCAGTGTCCGAGGGGTGGGGCTAGAGAGGCATGAACCATTAAACTGGCTAGCCTGTGACAGGAGCTCTTACGCCCTTTCCATTTCTTTTTACATGGAGGAGCATGTACTAATTGTGTCATCTGGGCAGAAAAATATATAAATTTTTTGCAGGACTTTTCCTCAGAAATTCTTCTTAAGAGAAACAGAAAAAATAGAAACTATGAAGTAAAGAGACCAATTTAACCACATATACTTTTGATCTTTCACGTGGCAAACAATGCTGAAAATCAAGTTGAAAGAGATGACAAATTGGCACAAAATAATCGTGATATTTATAACAGATAGAAGCTAACACTCCCAGTTCAGAAGGTCCTACATAAAGACACGCCATCAGAAAAACAAAGAGGGTTTCAACGGAGAAGTCAAAGAAAAAGCTACAGGGGCCGGGGAGATGGCTCAGCAGAATAAGTGCTTGTCTGGCAAGTGCAAGGGCCTGAGTTCAATCCCCAGTTCCGAAAAAAAAAGAGAAAGCTACAGAGGAAACATGCACACATGAACATGTTCAGCCTCTCTAGCAATAAGGGAAATGAAAATTAGAATGAGACATTTTTGCCTAGAATACTGGAAAATCTTGCAAAGCTTTGCTGATATTTAGTGTTGGCTTAAGAGTGAACCACTACTAGAAGTGCAAATTGGGGTAAACTTTCAGGAGCACTATTTTGCTCAATCAATCAATCAATACCCAAGCCATTTAACCCAGCAAATTCCCACCTTAGAAGTATATTCTAATATGTATGCAGAGCTTAGGGATGTTGATATCATTTGGTTCATTCGGTAGGAGCAATTGAAGGAGGAGAAAATTTGGACTAATTAAATGTCCATCAGAAGGAAGGTGACTGCATAAATGACAGTGCAGTTGCAGCAAAAACTATTGTGAAGCTCTTCAAAAAGTATAAAGGGAAGTCCATGCTATGTAGTTGTAGGATATGGCATATTTGTATGATTTGGACATGTGTATGCATATAGAACATTGAGTACATGTATATGTATGTATGTATGCACAGTAACATAGCTGTCTCTCAGTATCCCAGGGGGATTGGTTTCAAAACCCCTAACTGATACTGAAGTCCACGAATGCTCAAATCCCTACTATAAAGTAACACAGTACTGCCACACAATATGTACACATTCTCTCCTACATTTTAAACCATTTCTATTATTTATAATACTATATACAATGGGAATATTATATAAATAATTATTATAGTATAAATGGCAGGAGAAAGAGTCTTTACATATTCAGTATGGACACAATTTGGGGGAGGAATATTTTTGAACCACAATTGACACAATATACATGTAGATCCCATGGATATGGAAGGTGGGCTCTACACACGTTTGGGCAAGTTGTTTAACTTTTCTGTGCCCTAGTTTCTTCCTTTGTAAAATACTATATTATTAATATTTTATTTTTATATTATTACTAAATATAAAATTATATATACATATGCAAGTCTGCAAGGCTATGTATCCCAAACACCTCCCCACACATACACATGTAATATTTCTTTGTCAGGCTGGAAGCTGGGCTGCTGAGAACAGAAAATGCATCACTGAGGCATCCAAGCACTGGGGCAAGTAGCTCCTGAGTGAAGACCTAAGAACTTGAGGCCAGCTTCATGTGCTGGGCCTAAAGGCTGTGGCCCTGGAACAGGGCACATTTTCTCTCTGGCAGCTCTACTTCCTAAGCTGATTGGCTGAAACCTTCTCTCCACTTGCACTAAAATTACATGAACAGTCATGAACTAGGGACCAAGTATCTGGGGTCAGGAGACTCAGAACTCTTCTAATCTCCCTCAAAATTTCCCACTTTCCTTAGGAGTATCCAAGGATATACCCAGGAGTATCATTGCAGGAAAATATCAGGAGGCCAGTTGTCACTTCTTTGTTGCTGGACAGAACACCTGACACACACAGCTCAAAAGAGAGGCGCTTGTCTTGGCTCATAGCCTCAGAGGCCTCAGCCCATGCCCAGTCGACTTCACTGCTTTAGGCCCCTGACAAGGTTAACCCATTGATGAGGTTCACTCCATCTTTTTAAAAAATAATTTTATTGAGAAACAAATAGCAATGAGAGTTTCAAAACTGATTATTAGCACAGTTTCAATAATTAATACATTGCATCTTATTCTCTTAGTGATTATTCATTGTACAAGACACAGACAGGATATCCTGTCCACAAACAGGATTTCCTTAGGAGTATTAGAACAAATTTCTCTATTCATTGAATTAAGAGAAAGTAGCTGTATATCTATCCTAACCATTTTGAATGTACAGATAAAAAATGTTCGTTCATTTGTACTCCCTTTTTTTTGGTTAGTTTTGTAAGAGAAGGGTATCCCACTGTCATTTAAATGCTGTAGTTGTGTGAATTCAGCAAAATAATCCACTATAGTCCAGTAGTCCATAATGGTAGTGGGTTATCCATAGGACTGGCAATGTCAGAAGTTGTTGACCTGAGCCTTTTACAGCTCAGCATATTAATATGGTTTTACTTTTTATACTTTTCTGCTGGATGGTTAAGACCAAGATAAAGCAAGACCTATATGACAAGATGTGTAACTTTTGTATCTGACAAGGTCAGTCAAATCCCCTCAGGATTTATCCTGAAACCTTGTACAGAAGTTTGAAGATCTTTTGTCAGTGTCAGCTATGTGGATGAGTCATGGCCATTGCTTGATCAATTTGCTCTCTGTGAAAGCCTGAGAGAATGTTTTCTCTCCATGTGACTCTCCTTAGGCACACTCTACATCATCGATCACTTTCCTCTTTGGCCCCATAATCTCCTTGATCAGAAAATTTGGGATACAACTGAGTTATACGATGTTACAGTACAGGTTCTCCTATGTCCTGAGTCCTCACTGACCTTGAACGGCTAGGGCCAAAATGTTGGCTGTCCTTGCAGCCCTTCTTTTTCTCTAATTATTGGCCTGCAAGCTTATGTTGGGTTAACACCATCTTGATCCAATCTCCTCTCTAGGCTCCAGCCCTGAATATTTCTATATTGGGGATCAAGACCTTCAGTACATGAGTTTTTGGGGGACCCTTCATATTTAAGCCATTACAAAAGGTGTCTTTTTCTCACTCCTCCACTGCCATTCCTAAGAGTATGATGTATAGCAAAAGGGCCTGGGAGGTGCTGTGGGGCCCAGGGTCACAATCACAGCTGGGACCCCAGGGGCTCATGGGTCTCTCTCTCTTCCTGCAGGATCGTGTGTGAAATGGGGGAGGCCAAGCCCAGCCAGCATGCAGGTTTTGTGGAGATCTGTGTGGCTGTGTGTCGGCCTGAGTTCATGGCTCGCTCCTCGCAGCTCTACTACTTCATGGTGAGTCCTGATCCCAGAAAACCTCATGAGTGTCACTGTTAGGTCCTGCTAGACCTTCTAGCAGACACAGGGCAAGGACTTGCAGCTCTGCGCCCCTCCTATCATGAGGGTTCTGTCCTGTGGTAAGAGGAAAGCCATTGACACCTGCAAGCTCCAGACTCAAATCCAGACTTATCTGTGCCTGGTTTTGTGGCTCCAGGTAAGATGCTCTAGCCCTTGCTTCCCACTGTCCCTACGTGGCTAAGTGGGACAGTGGCACAGTGGGTGGCTGAGTGCGTGATCTATGCCTGAAGACTCCTGGGCTTTGTTACCCAGCCTCTACCACTTAGTAACCAGCAGAACTTTTGCAAGTTGCTTATTTTTTCTGTGCTGTAGTTTCTTCATTAAAATGGAGACAATAATAGCACATATAACAAGGTATGAAAATTACATAAAGTGTACTTTTATATTTTTCCTAGCATTTCCTGCATTATCTATAGTTGCCACTATTATTGCCAAACCCTTGCCTTTCCCTGTACGCTCATGCCCATCCTCCCAGACATCACCTTCTCTCATCCCATCTACCCACTCATCATCAGTCCTGCCCTATGACCTCTTTAAGGCTTCCTGTGCTTGACCCGTATCTCATGGGCCCATGTTACCCCAGTACATCCCATCCATTTCCCCCATGAGGCCATTTCCCATCCACTGCCCTTTTCTTCCTCCCATGGCCTCTCCGTAGGTCAACCCATCCTGCCAGGTCTTGACTCCCATCCAGCCTGAACAGTCACATCAAATTGCTGAGGAGGACAGAGCCTTTGGGTTCCCTTGGTCTTGTGACTGTGGGGATGGTGGAGACATGGCACACTCCCTTCCACCCACACCCAAAACTGTCTTCTAGGGTGAATGACACCATGATGGCATTATTTCCTCTGGGTTCTGAACTGCTTTCAAAAGCTGGAGGGCTGAGGCAATGGATTTTATGCTGGGTAATAAATGCCCTGAAATACTAATGAGGGAACTGCTGCCCCCTTCCTTTTCCCTCCCTTCCCTCCCTTTCTTCTTGCTGCCTTCCTCCTTCCTTCCTTTGGGTTCTTTTGTTTCCTTCAGTTGACAGAATTTGTCACCTTGCGTAATCCTCCTCACCAGATTTTTGATACCTATTTCTTGAATTATGCTAAATGCTACACTGTGATTTGATGGCTCTGTCTGTGGGGTTGTGCTGATAACTGACACCCAGCACAGCCCCTCTCTTTAGAGCTGGGTGAGGTCAGCTGTTGGGAAAGACTTGACCCTGGTAGGGTGAACTGCAGAAAAATGCAGGCCAGATGCCCCTGCCCACCTCTGCTTTGGGGAATCAGCTCTATCTGGGTGCCACTGACAGTAACTGAACACACACTGGTGGGCTTCCTGCTCGCCAGGTACTGGCATGAAATCTGGCTCTGGATTATCTGGCAGCCAAGGGGAAGGAGGAGGAAACCACTGCACGGCAAGAATAGGTGCTGGGCTTACGTAGCCCGCCAGCCAGATGGTTTCCATCCTATGTCCTTGGCACAGCTCAGCATGCAGAGGACACAGGATGAGGGAGGGAGCCTCCACCTCACTAAACGGGCATTTCCTCTGGGCCACAGGTCCCTCTACCGTGTTCCTCTGTGAGCTCCAGCCTCTGCCCAAGCCTGACCTATCCAGGTTTTCAGCCCCCAAGCGCAGTGCACCCCCTCTTGTTCATTTCTGCCTAGGGCCTGTTGCCCCATCCAGCAGTCTTGGATGAGCCTTGGCTTCCATTGATTCCTGACAGCCACCATCACCAGGTCCTGGAGTCTCCCTTTTCCTATTCCTTTGCTTTCGCCTTGGGTCTCTTAAATCTGCATTTGCTCTATGCCTATCATCACCCCTCTACCTGCATGGAAACATCATTTGTAGCACATAATCTATACCGTGGGCTCCTGCTACCTGATATGCTGCTTGAGTTCTTGGATGTGCCCAACCTCCCACCCAATCTTATCACCCCAAGCTCCATCCTTCCACCTGCTTCCCCTCTGCCTCCTTCCCCTTGCTGCACTTAGCCACATCTTCTCCTTCTGCAGTACCCATGCCCCATCCTCTGTCTTCTCTGAGAGAAGCTGAGCTGGGCTGCTGCAGCCTTTGCAGCTCCCCATTTGGGGCCAGAGCATCTACCTGCACCTCCCTCCACAGGCCCTCTTCTGCTAGGCTCCTCTTCTCATACACATTAGGGTCCCTTAGAAAAGCAGCACTTGTCCAGGCTAGACTGTAAGTTCCATGCAGACCTTGGGGAAGAGACAACCATTTGTGAAGTATGGTTGACACTGTTCTATACAGAGATGGGAATGAAAGAAGAAAGAGGGAAGGGGGTGAGAAGGCACAGGAGCAGAGTCAGCTCAGAAGCATGCAGAGAGATGCCACAAGGCACACAGGGCATGAGCTGATGGTTCTTTGGCTCGAGGCTGGTGTTGCATCTGTGTTTGAAGAGCAGCTCCCAGGAACTACCTGCTACCTCACATGCACTCAGTGGGGAAGCCTTTGAGGGGGGAGAACCAGGGCCAGTGACCCTGGCCTTGTCCACTACTCCAGTTTACACTGAAAAATTGAGTCAAAGAGCCCCACTCCCAACCTCCACAGAACTCCCACTGTCTCCTGGTGCCAATAAGGCTCAGGGGTCCCCATGTATCTCAGGTCATAGGTCCTGCCATGAGGCAAGAAGGGACAGAATCCTGTCTATAAGCAGGCTGTTTCCAAGCAGCCAGAGCTACTGCCTTCTGCTCAGTGAGGTGGGTGGTGGGGCAACACTGCTTAGATCCCATGTAAAAGCCCCTTTCCTCTGGATCCCAGGACACTGGAGAACCCCTTCCTCTGGCTCCTCTGGGAGCACACTGGGGAGTCCCTTTTTAGAACATGCTTCTCAGGACATGGGGTGCCCCTTCCCAATGTCAAAGTTGGGGGAAGATTGGGGTCTCTGTCCAGGAATCAACCCAGGCCCAGATCTGTGATTTATTCACTCTGAACCCCATCTCCAAGGTCAAGGGGCCCAGGTCTGGCTCCTGCAGAGAGCACTTTTCCTTCCTTGTCTACCTCCATCAGAGGAGCCAAGTGAAGAGCTGGCAAATAATGCGGAATTTGATTTCCCGTGCAAACCCATCGTGAAATATTTATGAAGCATGACTTGAATAATTAATAGTTTCTCACAACTCTAAGACATGTCTCCATAACACTCTCGCCTCATCCCTGGAATAATTCCCCCTCCAGAGGCTTCCTGATAGCAGCACCACTGCAAATCCCTGTGGTTTACTCACTTCTGCCCTTCTAGGACCTGCGCACAGGCTGGTGAGAGGGAGTGCTCATGCCAAGCAGGCTGGGTTGGACTCTGCCTTTAGGACCACATGGTGCACAAATGGACAGCTCTCTCTCTCTCTCTCTCTCTCTCTCTCTCTCTCTCTCTC